CCCCAAAACCCCAAAACCCCAAAACCCCAAAACCCCATATAAGAACCCTCAGCTCAACCTCTTATAATATAACATATTCAAAAATGTCCGCTCCCAAACACAGTTCCCCAAACCCTTCAAAACCCCCAAAAGCCAGTCACCAATTACAGCCTTCCCAACTCCAAAAGCCCAAACCCAAGGCCAAGCCTACAGCTAAACATAACGAACTGTTCGGTAAATTTGTACATAATCCTATAGCCGAAAGTTCTGGTGAGAAATCTAAGAATCCTTTTGCCAAGTCCAATTGGACCACCATGAAGAAAGATAAAGACCAAGGTAAGATTTTGGAGAAGAAGAGGGGGAAAATAGGGGTTTTAGGGGTGAAGAGGGATTTATGGTGCTAAGTGGGGATATAGGATGGGAAGAGAAGTATAAAGAGTTGCAGAAAAGTTATGAGGAGTTGGAAAAGGAGTTTAGAGAGATAGAAAAGAAGGCAGATGAGAGGAAGGAAGAAGGGAAGAGCGATAAGCTTCCTTTGAAAGATCAGATTAGTTCGAAATCAAATAAAGCTTTGGAGGATCTATCTACAATTCAAAGGAAATCTTCTAACGATCAGGAACAGATTCAATCACTTTTGTCACAATTAGATGCTCAGACAGAGAAAATTACCTCTCAGGAGGTAATCATTCAAGAACTGAGGGAGAGAGAATCCTCTATAAGGTAAGATTTTATTGCAAGAAGCTCTTCAGCCCTACATAAAACCTTAGCTAGTTCTTCAAATGTTAGCCTCAATTTTTACTAGTAATGCTATTCGCATTTGATAATAAAACTTTGTATTCAGAGACTAAATATGTTAATTTAGGACCCAAGCATCTGAAAGAAAATTATCAGGGCTGTCCAGAGGAACCTCTGACCAAATTTCAAAAGACCAATCAGAGCTAGCTTGCAAGAAAGAAGAAATTGAAGAAGTAAAAGATACCTCAAACTGAAGAATGATAGAGTATGGTAAGACAAATATAGCTAGTTATTAATTAAGACTCAAGAATATTATCCATTCAAATTTCTTGCATAAAAATTGAGCGGATCAATTTGCCACATCCTATTTGAGAATTTTCACTTTAAGTTAGCAAATAATCTCTGAGAAGAGATTTTTGAATGATTTAAAAACTACTCTCTTCATTGATCTGAACCTTTATATAGAAATTGACAGACTCAAGCTTGAGAACAGACTTCTTGTTTCTAAATTAGAAGCGAAAACTCTATGTGAAGTCAGACAAGAATGGCCAAGCTGTTATAGCAATCAAGGAAGCGAGAAATTAAAGGTAAGATGCATAAATTTAGTTGCTAGATAATTTTATATTAATCGAAGCTGAAAATATCCTAAACTTCAATTCTCAAGCAAATTTTTTTTTCCAGTTATTAAGCCATCTAACTCCATAAAGATTATATCTTACAAGAGCGAGATTAAAAAACATGAGAGAAGGATCAGAGATTTCAAGGAGCAATCTAAGATTGAGAAAGAATGGAGAGCTTCACTCCAAACCGACAAAAACTGGCTAATCTACATCGTCTGCATTTTATTTACACTGGTAACAGTGATGTTCTTGGAGAAACTAATTTAGGTGTAAAATTTCAATTAGTAGTTCAAAGAGCGGGGTTTTGGGGTTTTGGGGTTTTGGGGTTTTGGGG